AATGTATAATCTTAATGGCGAGAAGGCAGTAAAAACAAACATTACACAATCGGCATTTACTTGAAAAAGTATATTTACTATAATGATACTGGTCAGTTAGCCATGAGTCATTAACAGTTCGTCAGTAGCCAGTGATGAGTTAGAAGATGGATTTTGACAATTGTTGATTGCAAAAATGGAGACGAGTGCGCGAGACCTTTGTTACATTGTTGTGAAGTGAGCTAGCTTTGGAGGGAGAGTGTCTGGCTTCGGTTAGATATCTCTTTTGTGGATTTTAAACAATAGTTTTGCTATTTAAAAATCTGGATTAATTTATTATCCCCCAATGACGGATTCAAAGATAACCAATCCTGACAAATGATCGACTGTCCGAAATATCTGTTTCTCGATTTTCGCCACCCTTAAATTACTACATACATATTTCTGATTAATGGGTCTGCGCATGGTCGATTTTTGAATTCTTTGACGTCAATGATGGTATATACCTCCGTTTTGTCTTTATTTGGCAATATTAAGTATCTAAAACCAACATCATTCCACTATTGACTTCTCATTAAATTTATAAAACTGAAATGAAAGGTCAAATTACTTGTTGGTTTTTAAAAAATGTCTTTCTCTTCAAAAAATTTAGATGGCGAGGACATTATTATTATTATACAAAAATGTAAAGCATGTTGTTATTGTTGTTGTTGTTGAATATGTTATTGCTGATCACTTTAGTTTTACGTGTAGTACTTGACTGTTGGAAGAATTTAATTGGGTAGAATGGAAAAAACAAGTTAAACTGTACTATAATTAGTCAAAAAAACCATACAGATGATTAAATTAAAACAATTTACTAAATGTTTAACTTAACAGTTTTTTGACCACACAAAAAATATATAATTTTTAATTCTTTTCTCAACAAAAATTTACGATTTTTTCCGCGAAGAATCCATTGAATATTTTTCTGACAGTTTGAACTGCATTTTGCGAAGATTTTATTGGAAAAAGGGTTTGGAAGACCCACAGGCTCGTTTATTGAATTCTTGGGGTCAATGATTGTATTTACCTCCTTTGTTGTCTTTTATTTGGCAACAAAAAGAAACTAAATGTGGCTTACTGAAGCTAAAGGTATAATTTCTTGTTCAAAACTGTCCTCTCCTAAAAATCAAGGAAGCAACGGTAAACATTTCTATTATACAAACCCATCAAACATGTAGTTTTTATTTGCTTGTTGAATAAATAATTGCTGATCAGTTTAGTTTTTCATTTCACTATTGATCTAGTTGTTAAAAAAGTCCTTCTTTTCTGAAAATTAAGATGGCAAGAGCATTACTATTATACACAACTAATTAAGGTTTTTAGTTGCGATAAAAAAGTCAACGGCACGAGCGGGATTCGAACCCACGACCTTCGGCTAGATACGCCGCTGCTCTACCACTTGAGCTATCGTGACTTCGATCCACTCGGACACTAACTTCCCTTTTCAATTTTCCCTCCTTTTTGCCATTCGTCGTGTAATCTATTTGATTCGCAGCGACAAATGAAATGACCATGGAGAGCTTCATTTAAACTTATTAGTATTATCCTATATATTAGGAGGGAAAATTCCAAAGGTGGGGTCCTACACAGAGAATCCATCGAATGTTTTTCTGCCTTCTGCGAAGATTACATTTGAAAAAGAATTTTGAAAATAAGTTATCTTCAGGATTGCGTAGGCGTCAGCCGGAAATTAGTAATTAAAGGTTTTCGAGAAGTTGTTTTTGAAATTACAACTTCCCCGGGACTCTTTGTGTCCGAGAGGTTTCCAATTAAAGTTCACACCTTAGCGTAATCCACTGGCTGCGTGGAGTGCTTTGCGAAAAAGCTTTTATATTTTGTTTTCCTTTCCAGACGCACGTATTCCGGCGTACGGTCATACTGAAATATAATTTGCACTTTCTATCTTCTTTGTTACAAAGAAAATTTTAAACAATCTGATTACAGTTTGTACGATTTTGTTGTTTCAAAGAAAGGAGAATTTGGGTAAAAATGAATTTAATGAATGTAAAAGTTTTGTTCGTTTTTAAGAAAAACTCTCCTAACCGTATATGTTGCAAAATATTCAACAGAATTAGATGAAACTTTTAAAAAATGTTCACATGACTTACATCGGTCTTACATCCCAATATCTGGACAAGAGAGTACAGCAACATATCTATGATTGCAAAAACCCAAGCAAAATCCTACAGCACTCGCTATCCACCATTTTGAACACCAACACAATTTCGACTTCAAAAATCCAAAAATATTACATACAGAACAAAGCAAACATAAACGTAAATTCTTAGAAATGGTTTATATCAAAAGAGATAAACACAGCATCAATTACAGAACAGACACATGTAAACTCAGTCGCAGTTGCGCCAATATCATTAATCAAATTCAATATAGATAACATACATATATCATCACATTACATTCCACACATCAAATATTTTTCACATAGTCTAATTTCCCAACAATTTAGCTTTCCTTTTCCTATTTATCCCTTTCTATATAATCCTGAAAGGATAATCTGGCCGAACCTTTTCTAGCAACTTCTGGAGTTCCTCAAGGGTCGCACTTAGAGCCTTTTCTGTTTAAAATCTATAAAATGATATCTCTGGTTCTCTTCCATCCATTACTTTCGCAGAGGTTTTAAAAATATTCCAATAAATTAATTCTGTCTCTGACTGCTGACTGGAAAAATTAATAATTGGTGTTCAACTAATAATATTTGTTTCAATTCTATAAATGTTCAGTTATGTCTTTCCATAAAACAAAGTATCCTATCAAATTTAACTACGCTATATCAAACACGCTCCTAATTAGACATGAAATTTTTAAATATTTTGGCATCATTATTGATGACAGACAAACTTTCACACACACATGAACAAAACAAATACAACTTTAGGGTTTATTACACGTTATACTAATCATTTCCATGATCCAGATCCACCAATATCAGGAGCATAGAAGCGGTTCAAACAATATTTTTACGCCTGATACAATGCAGAACAATTGGAGAATACAGAGATGCTCATCGTTAATGACAGATCTGAAATAGATGACTGTTCTGTACAGAAGGAATTTCTTTGATTGTATATTACTGTACAAATTATTACATTCCTTAACTGATTTCCCATTATTACTTAACCGAATTAACTTTCAGGTTCCATCTTATTCCAGAAGGCAAATAACATTCGCCTTCGATTGCCATAGAACTAATTATGCCAAATTCAGGTTTATACGAAAAACAACAAATTTGTTAAACTCGTTCAAATATATAGATATATTTAATGTCCGTTTAAGCAAATTTTATTATTAGAAAATTAAAAATTATAACATTAATACAATTAATATTGAATTTGATTATAATTAATAATTGATAATTTCACAGGGTGTTGGGCTACTCGTGTTACAAAATTTGTCAGTAGATGTCACATAGAAAAAGGAACCAAAAAGTTTTAGTCAACTAAGGTCGGAATCTCAGCAGTTTCGGAGTTATTTCACTTTTTAAGATTTCACGACCTTGCGTCCATTAAACGATGTTAACACTATAAGTAAAAGGTTTTGGACAAATCCGTTGAGCATCTACCATTGGAATCTACATTAAATTTTCAATAAGATGTACTTAATACTAAACTTGTAAACGTTGTTAAAATAAGTGTTTTATTAGTAAAAAATTTTTTTTTCAAAGTTGAAAATCTTACTATGGTGATTCTAACTAACTACTATTTCCAAACCTAGAGAAAAGCTAATTTCAGAAAATGTACTCCATTTAATATCCTTTCTAGTGGTGTAATTTTTTAAATTTTTTTTTCAATGATGAAGAAATTGATGGAGGAAAGGAAAAAACGTGGCTGAGGTAAGGTGGAAAATTAAAAAAAAACTTAAAGAAATCTTGAAAAAAATTATGAAGCGGTTAAAGAAAAAGTAGCCATAATGTTAAGAAGATATCACATAGATAATCTTAAAACTTTTACAATCCGGAAAATATTAATACAATAATTTTTTAATAAAAGTTGCAGTCGTGTTAATAAATAAGAAAACACTTGTACTATTTCGGTTTCAAACCCACATTTAAAAAAATGTTTAATAATTTCATTCAAAATTACCTTAAGTTTTTAAAAAATTTTCACCTTACCATCTATCAGCCACTGTTTTTTCCTTTCCTCCATCAATTTCTTTACCTTTGAAAAAAGAAAGTACACCACTAAAAAGGATATTAAATGGAGTACGTTTTCTGATATTTGCCGGTCTCTAGTTTCGGAAATAGTAGTTTTGAATCACCATAGTGTTTTTTCAACTAAAATGTTTTTGTTTGTTTAAGTTCTCGCTATTAAAATGCTTATTTCCCGAACATTTACATGTTTACTATTGATCACATCTTATAGAAAGTTTAACGTAGTTTTCAATGGTATCAACGGATTTGTCCATAACCTTTTAGTTTTCGAGTTATTATTGTTCATTTGAAGCAAAGTCGAGAAATCTTAAAAAATTAGAAAAAGTGAAATAACTCCAAAACTGTTGAGATTCGGACCATATTGATTAAGACTTTTTGGTTCCTTTTTCAATGTAGAATCTATTGGCAAAGTTTGTAACTCGAGTAGCCGAACACCCTGTATAGTGTTAATACATTTCAAGTTGTTTCTATTTATTCTAAATTGTTTGGTTTATTGTTTTTGTCCTCGTATTATTATAAATATTTTCAAATTAATGTACAGTTATAACCGTGATACTATTGTTGTATACAAAAACACAACAGTAAATAAATGCATAAAATAAAATAAATAAAAAAAATAAAATGTCTTAAGAGCAGTTTAGGTTATCACACTTATGTCGTTTTGTTTTTTAATTTAACTAGTTGAAAGAATAAGTTTATTATCGATTAAACTGCGCAAATTCAAAGTTTAAAATTTCCCTTTGCACTTTTAACCTCGGTTTACTAAAAATTGCTAGATGAAAGAGAGAAAAATTGAAAACTTACTCACCGACGAACCATGGGTTCCGCTTGTTGTTTTCAACCGTCAGATTTAGAAAATACTCTTCGAACCCTTTCACGGGGTTGGCCTGCGGTTGGACCGAAAGTGTCCCTTCGACTTCTGGTTCGTTTCCAATCGAGACCAAATCCCTGGCGCTCCATCCGTCTGAGCCGATCCAGGAAAATATACCGGTCGCGTTGCAACGTCTCACCGCCCTCATCATTTCAGCCACTTCCTGGTCAGAGCCAAAGATGATCACTCCTGTAACAAAACATTGAAATATTAAAAACGGTTCCGTTAGTGAAATCGACATAGATTAGAGTAGTTAGATAAATAGGTAAATCGAATAAGAAAAATAACCTTATTCTGGGACTGATGTCCTATAAGAATAATATACATGAAAGAAATAAAGGAAGTTCCTTCTATGAAATTAAAACTAAAATGAAATAAAAATCTTAGTACAATATATGCAAGTAAGGCAAGCCATAAAAATAACAATAATATTAAACAAAAATATCACAAATTAACATAAGGTCTCTGTTTGGAGGGAGAGGAGGTGATTATACCGGCGGGATTTATAGGAAGCAAAATGTCGAATAGAAAGGGGAAGGGAGTTCCAGAGAGCAAGGATCAGAAAGGACCTTTTGAAGGTGTGGGTTGTATGTTGCGGAAAGATAAGGTCAATTGGGGATGAGCGGGTGTTACGAGGTGATGTGAGGAGTTGGATTGGAGGGATTGGGTGATGTAAGGACGACGACGAGTGTGGATGGACTGGAAAAAAAGCAACCTAGGAAATAGTGTGCACGGAAGGAGGGGTAGTCAGGAAAATTGGGAATACCGGGGATGGTGCCTAAAACAAATCTTAAGCAACAATTATTAACACGCTTCAATCGCCGTTCCTCCCTTCCAGAGACCACCGTATGCCACACAGCTGTGATCGAAGAAGGGAGGTATAAGGGAAGATACAAGGAATTTGCGGGTGGAGAGTGTTAAGAGAAGCCATAACCGACGAAATAGGCTGAGGGAGGCAATACAATAGCGGGAAGTTTAAGAAATGTGAGCATGCCAGGACAGGTTTTGGTCCAAGACTACTCCCAGGAATTTAACCGAGGAGCAGAAGGGAATGGGGTGGTTATTTAACATGAGAGGTGGGATGCTGGGGAGTTGCCTGGTCCAAATAATTATGGCGGTGGATTTGGACGAATTGAGGACTAGGGAATTTTTATGGGCCCATTCGTTGATGGAATTTAGGTATTTTTGGATGTTGAGAATGACCGAGTGAAGATCGGAAGAGTGGAAAGATATGTATATTTGGGAGTCATAGGCGTATAGGTGGTAGAAATAGGACTGGATAGAGTTGGGCGGGTCTTTAATATAAATGGAAAAAAGGATAGGAGGGATGCTAGTGCCTTGGGGCACTCCAGATTTTAATGGAGGAAGGGAGACAGGTTGATGGCGATTGGTAAAGTACGAGTGGAATCAACGGATGGTGCTGGTGAGAAGGAAGAAGATTTGAGTTTAGAGAGGAGGGAAGAGTGAGGGACAGAATCGAAGGCTTTGGAAAAAAAAGAGGACAAGGAGAGTATTTTCCGTTGGTCCAGTGCTAAGTGGAGGTCACTGGTAATTTTTATTAGTGCTGATTGGGTGGAATAGCCTTGGCGGATCTCAGATTAGCGTGGATTAAGAAAATGGGAATGTTCAAAGTGTTTGGAGTAATTAGGTATTTACATAGAAATAGAAAGATGAATATAGTATAGTGGTATATATTATTTAATTATCTATAAATAATAATTACTACAATTATTGAATCATATATCATCATCATTTATTAAATGCAGGCTTAAAGTTTGTCCCAAAAACAGAACTAGAACAACGAAACTATTTCCTTGGTTTATCTGTTTAACGTATATACAAATATAAAATATAAATATGCAGAATCTAAAAGTCAAAATATTAAATATCACACGTACGTTATGTTTATTGATAAAAAGTTAAAAAGTAACATCTATGTTAATTAAAAAGGCGATAAAGGAAATAGTATAGTTATCTTTCAGTACCAGAAATACGTTTGTAAAGTTGAAGAATTCCTAAAAAATAACGATTTTAAAAAATGAAAAAATATCACACCTTAAAACTAAAAACTACGATTCAAACTGCTATAGAAAATGCTTATTTCCTATTCTCAAATGACATATATGCATGTAAAAAACTAATACAAATGAACCTAAAACCACTACGGTCAAAAAAAATCTATAAGAAAGTGGTGTCATTTTATAATTCTCTATTAACCCACATTAATTTCAAACCTACATTCGGTGTTAACAAATTATTTGGAATTGATAAAACAGTGTGGTGTTTTGTAACCGTTACTCAATGATTATTCGGAGATGCGGTCTGGTGTGACGTAAGTTTAGAAAAACATTTTCTTGATGAAGATGAAAGTCTGAAGATGATCTCAGTAAAGATAGAAACGTTAGCACGATAAAGAAAATGTTTTTCCAAAAACTACGTCACACCAGACCGCATCTCACGATCTCCGAATAATCATTGATAAAACAGTTCAACAACATAACTAACAACTGTGTCTTAGAGTCATCTGATGTTCTTGTATATTTACAAGAAAGAATGTACTAAACTAATAAAACAAAAACTTATAGAGAATTCTATTACCGATTTTCTAAAAACTGATAAACTGGACCTCTTAAATATATGCCTGATATTTAATTATTGTAAATACAACAATAAATTTTATGAAATGAAAGGGATTTCATTATCCCTACTTTGTGCCGAAATATTCATGAATAGCTTTAAAAGAATTATTTCAAATATAATAAAAAAATAATTAAATCTATCCTTTTGTCGAAAAGATATACAAACACATTTTATATATAAGGTCTGGGACACTAAAGAATCAAAAAAGGATTCCTCCCTTTAATTAATTATGTACACAATAGTGTATATTTTACATTGAAAATAAATAAAAATGGTTGTGTTCAAATTTTAGACTTAAAACTGTCCATAATAAATAACCTAATTAAAATAGCAGTATGTAATCAATCCACCATTACAGACACTATGGTACCAGTACCCACCACTACCCATGAACCGAAAAAGCCGCTGGATTCGTTTGGCTCATGTACCATATATTGAAATTCCCATCCACACCTGCTTACTTTAAAAAATTTACATACTTTGGATATTAATAAATATTTATCAATAGGATACAAGTAAAAAAACAATAAATAAAACGAAATAAAAAATAAAGTTTACAAGAAGAAAAAATCGGTCTCAGCCATCCCACCAAAAATGAATCTTTAGGTTTTCGTTTCTTGGCATACATTGGTGAACTATCAGAAAAAGTAGGTAAAATTCTTAAACTAGGAGGTTTTAGAGTAGCTTCGAGAGATACGCGTTTATTTAGAAATATAAATAAAATATAAATGGAAGTTAATTAATCTTTTTATGGAAAGTATTGGTTGAAATGAAAAAGTTAGTGTCACGCGCGAGATTCGAACCTAGCCAAAGGTCGTAATTTTTTAATCTCAACCAATACCTTTCATAAAAAGATTAATTAATTGAAAGAAGTTATTTGGTCAATCAGACCACGAAATATAATGGATTTATAAATAGATAAATGTAGGATAGGTTGAAAACTTGTCAAAAAGCATGGTTTACCAACTTAATTGTAATGACGCGATAGTAAATATATAAGACAAAGTGGTAGAAAAATTAAAATGAGAGTTAAAAAACACGACTAAATCGAACAAATTTTCTAAATTTAAAGACCGTCTAAATGAAACTAAACACAATTTAAATTTAAATACAATAGTTGTACACAGTTTCAACAAAGGGAGAAATCTAGATTGGTTTGAGTAGCGTGAAATGAAAATATTAAAATTAAACAAGGAGATAAATGCATAAATAATAAAACATATTTTGATTTACTTCCCAATTTTAAACTAGTACTTAAATAGTATTCGGCATAGAAATTAATCCTTAATTATTTTTCTTACTGTAGAGATTAAGGCAATATTTTGTATATGTATCATCCGCTTTTTCGCACGTTCAAAATTGAGCTGCATTAAACCCAGCTTCTCTTTGGAACTTCACTGTTTGTAACTCCTTCAATCAGATGATGAACGATTAATGCTCGAAATCATCATCGTTGTAAACAACAAACTGTGAGTAAGAACTAACTTTTGGAAAAATGTTTTGCATCATATTGAATATTATTAAAAGGGGCCGCCCTTCAGTATTACCTTAAGGGCACTTCAGATCATAATATTGTTCATAGTTTATAGCGAAACCACAACCGCTCGGGGACGAGAGGACATTATCTTCATTCATCATAAAGTATATTACAGTCTCTCCGCAGTAAGTCACGGCCTCACCTCGCGCATAATTCTATACTCCTTCAACCCCGAGGAGTCGTTAACTGACCGCGATTTTACAACCATAGTTAAATGAAAAGTTTGAGATTATTTATCTTTGAAATCGTTTATTTGCCTGATTCTGAATTTGTACCTATTAACTTTCAATGAGTTTATGTAAATTTAACATCTCATGAAGTTTTAATTAAATTTATACCATCTCGATTAACTACTTTTACATAATTTATTGTTGTCAAGTATATACATTTTAAACTAATGGTTAATCTGCTATACATATTCGCGTGAACAGACAAGCAATAATTTTACACTCTGAACAAACCGAAGAGAATGTAAAATAATTATTAACGAAAAATTATTTTAAATAAAAAATTAATCAAACAGGACTAGGATATTTTTTAATTATTGTATTATACTGTATAATTTGCATTATATCAAGTAATGTGAAGCTGATTATTTACATAAATGTACACTCTGACAAAATTAGAAACTTTTATAGAAAATTTCAAACAAAAAAATTTAAAGTTTATTTATCTTTTACAGTTTACAGTCATAAAGAAACAAAAAAAAACTTAGTTTTTTTTTGTTCTTGAACTTTTGAAATAAAATGCAACGGGGCACTTTGGTAAAAGCTGTCGGACGTTTTAAGTTCGAAAAGGTATTCGTGCTTCTGTTGTCGGGCGAAGAAATGTCAACTTGTCATACGAGCAATAAACTCCCGTCCGGAAAAAACCCCAACAAAGTCTCTTAAAAAGTTTTTGTAAAAATGTTTTGCGGTAAATTATTATATATTCTCCCTTCCTGATACATTCCTTCGTTTTACTTATATATTTTCACTTTTGTTTAATAATAGAACAAACGCACGAGCATTAT